CGCCCCTGACACCCACCCATGAGCGCCTTCTCGAGGAATGCGCCCCCCTAACCGCGCAGGGGGAGGTGGTGGCCGCGGGGGTCCTCTCCAACATGGGCGTCCTGGCTCCGACTGCCTAAGAGAAGGTAAGGGACAGGTGTCCGAGGCCTGGGACCGTGTGGCCGTCACACATGGCTCATCCGAGTGGGCTCTGCAGCAGAGAGGTAGCTCGGGTACCAGCCCGTAGGCTACGAGCCTTTGCTGCTTTCTTGACTTCGCGGCTCAACACCAGACGTTGGTGGCGCGGACTCTGCTTTGCTGGGAATAGGATTCACGTGGCAAAACCTACTGCACCTGGCGCCAAAGGCCCTGAGGTCGCCACGAGCCTCCCAGCATCTTGCTGAGGAATCTCAGTTAAAACCTGAAACGTGCGGGGACGGTGAGCTGCCAGGTCTCTTACGAACCCTGAGCGTGTGAGGCGTGATTTTCGAGCTTTGCTTCAAGGCTGCAGGTCTGCATTCCAGGCCGTGGGCCGCTTACCTTGTCTGAAACCAGAGAGCGAGGCGCCGACGATGGGTGCGCAGAGGGAGTCTGTTAAACTGCAGCTGCTGCGGAGGCTACTTTGGTATCTTTGTGGTTTTTATATGGAGGCGCAGATAGGATCCCACTGCTTCTATCAAGGTTTTCTACTCAAGGTTTTCTGACTAGAGGAAATAACTGGGGTGGAGGTAGAATATGCGTGCCTCTTGTCAAAATGAGTAAGAAGCTTGTGTAATTTTTTGTCTTAAACATTTTCAGGGTCAATTCAATTGAGCTTTCGCTAATTCTCTCCCCTTACATGAGACAGATATATGTAGAGAGTAGAAATCTGATAGTTCTCAACTACCCTATAGTTAAGTAAAACAGAAATCTTTGTGTTACAAATAACATATTTAAAAAAAACACACCCAAAATCTCATGAAGTATCTAATCGACTTAGATGAAATTTTGATGGAAGTCTTTAAATTTTCTAATTGATTTATGAATTTCAGGTGGCTTTCCATTCAAATTTTCTTTCGAGTTAATCTGGTAGGGATCCAAAAACCTGTACTAAGTTATTTGGAAGAGTTGATCTAGTTGAATTTTTTTTAAAAGAAAAAAATTGCTAATGCTCTAAAAAAAATATGAGATATTGGTTCCCACTCAGTCTTAATATTTTGGTCATGATTTAAGAGGGAATGATTATTGCATGTATATCATTCAAGACTGGTCATCATGGGACTCCAGGGTAAGAAAGGTTCTTGGTAGAAAGTTAGCATTACTTGAGATTGGGCAGCAGGAGGGCTGAGTAGGATACTTGTAACGACTCTGTGGTTACATAGCCTTGTTCCTTTGGGCAAAACATTTTAGACCTCCAGTCGTTTATTAAGAACCAGGAATTTGACTAAGTAGATCTTCTAATGTATGTTTGAATTTAAATACGTTATATAATGAGGAAAGCTAGTAAGGAGTGTTGTTTTGGCTTTATGCTTGGTGCTTCTTTAATTTGTGGACAAGTTGCTCCCCTTAGCCAGAAGTGGAGGTCCATTTATTTACAAGATCTAGAGTTACTTTTATGATTAATTCTTGAACTTTAATTTTCTGATTGGACCCTTAGGGTAAGATTTTGCATTCGTGACATTGGTCGAGAATATGTAGCGTTGTGGAGAGATTATTGGCTAGCCAAAATGAATCACTTAGGAGCAAAGAACTCAATGGTGAAAGAGCCATCCTCAGCTGTTAATTCTTTGAGTCTAGCTTGAAAGATACCGTTTTCTCCTTCCAGATTTTGGGAGGGTGTTTGGCTTGGGGTACTTTTTGTTTGTTTGTTTTAAATTTTAAAAGTTAGTGTTACTGGCCTACAGACTTTGTTTCTTATTGTTTCATACCTCAGACACACAAAACTGACTAGGTGGAGGTGAGACGAGTGCTGCAGATGAGAACAAAGTTGGCCTTTAGGGGGGACACCTTCCCTTCCCTTCCCTTCCTTCCCTGTGAGCTCATTAGCACTTTTGGTTTTTACTGGCCGCAGTTAAGGGGTCGGGTTGGGGGGGAGGCATAGTGACACCCTCTCACATTTATTTGGAGAGGTGTAGCATTCCCCCACCTTAATAGTTTATGATCTTTAACTGGGGTCAGAAATGAAGTCTAATTTGTTAACAAAATTTGTGAACTACTCATTTTAGAGCCCAACATTTCATTCACCTTAAGGGCTTCTTCCTTCTCATTATGAAGAAAACTTTGAGTTTTCCAATATTCATGCTTTTATTTCATCGATACTTAGTTTTCATTTCTCTTCTTTACCCTTTGTCTTCTCCTAGTGACTCAGGTCTACAAAACATTCCTATTTTGTTACAGAATTGCTTTTCTTTTTAAAATAAGTCAATGGAAGTTTTATTTTTGGCATATTTCCTATAGCGATAATTTAGATTTAGCTAGTATTTATTGAATGTAAAATATATGCCAACACTGGCACAAATACTTAAGCTTCAAGATTATGTCTGAAGTGTTAGCCTCCGTTGGACATACTGAAGAACTCAGGTACAAACATAAAAAGTCATAGAACTAGAATCTTAGAACAGCTATTAAGTGGGTAGGTAGTAGAGCTAGTTTGACCCCAGGACTTCTTATTCCAATTCTAATATTCCAATTAATATTCATTATTCAGGCTTTTTAGTGGAATCTCATAGCAGACAGCAGTGATAAAATGTTTATTTTATTCTTATTTTTCTTTCTTTCCAACTTATTTTCTATGCAATATTTCATTTTTAAATTTTATTTTTTATAACGTGTCAACAAAGTCTAGAGATAGACCAGAAGCCATCTTGGTCATAATCAAAGCACATCTCTAGGTGATGTGAAAGAGTCCTTTATCTTCAGACTCAAAACTAGAAGGTCTTCAACTGGGATTCTGGAGCAACAGACTAAACAGAGTCTTGAAACATATGATATTTTACTTACGGAGTCATTAATTTTTTCTTCTTCCCCTGGGCTAGTTCATGTCTCATCATATTTATAATGGTTATTCCAGAATCACTTCTATGGAAAGAAAGAAAGAAAAAATACACACATTCTTTGAAGAATTCGGTATTAAGTTTCTGCATGTTTTTTGCTTTAAGCTTTATTTTTCTGAATTCCAAATCCTGAGGGTTGAGTCATCCATTTTTAGATAGACCCATAAACTTGGAGAAGCCATAGTTTCGAGGACTCATAGCAGCATTTGGGTCCCCCTTCCTCTTCCCAAAGTGATTGTTTTTGTTTAGTACTTGCCAAAAGTACTTATCAAGCTTTGTACATATTTAGATCTACGAATTTTAATGGTAACATCTTTCTGTGTTTTGATGCAGTGCACACACAAAAAAAGTTTTTTTGTTCTCCCAAACTTGAACTTCTTTATTCCAGTCTAGTGGATCGTTAATCATTTCACTTCCCAACTTTAAAAGCTACTCCTTGGCATCTCTTGTGGTTTTGGAAAACTTTTGAATGAATTCAAAAGATCAGAAATGATCTTTTTGTTTGGGTTTGTTCTTTGTGATTTAGTTCAACTCATCCACACTGATTAAACATTTGTTAAAAATTATCAAATGGTTACAGTCCTGTAGTGATCTTTTTTATCTTGGTGATATAAATTTGTTTGACTTTTGTTCACCCCCATTTAATCATTTCAGTGGGAAACTACTTCACCATGGAATAATTCTTCCACACTCCTGCTAGCTGGGCCCAGGCCCATGTTTCTTATTCACGTCTCCGCCATATCTAAGTCCAAGACCTCCATGTAGTGGCTGACTTTCAGCTGAACCACAGATGGTGATTTAAATGATGAAAAAAATGGTTCAATCTGGATTGAAATCCTATTTTTTTTCTAAAGGGACTTAAACAGAGCTTCTATCCATGACAGCGACTTTAAGTGTCAACATATTTGGCGTATGTTTAGTTGTTTATCACCTATTGCATGTGAATTGCCCACTAAGCCTTCTTTCTCCCATTTTTACCTTCTGGTAAAATAGAACTCTCTCTCTCTCTCTTTTTTTTTTTTTACAGGTTGAATATAGTTTTGATTATAAACAAAGCAGCATAACAAAAATTGCTTAACTACTCTTACTGCTTTTTTACTGAATGATCATCTATAAATATTAGAAGATAGTTTGAATTACATTTCTGGCAAAATACAGGACAGACTGCATGAGAAATAAATGTGCCACTGTCAAGAAAATAAAAACTTCACTGTTTAGAAGTATTGAGGGGAAGGATTGTGTCCCTCTGACTCACTGAAACTGTTACATGCCATTAGGCTTACTGTAAACTATCCCTTGATGAATTCTTCATTGGACAATGGGCCTAAGAATCCGAGGTGTCTTCTTGCTTTTCCAGAGCAGAATAGGACGCTGGTGCTTAAATGAAAGTTGCAGAGCACATAATAGGATGTAGCTAAAGTTACTGACCTACCACATCTCACTTTCAGGAAAGTAGTGGGAGAGATTGTGTCTTGAGAAGAAAGGCATTTTAGAGGTAACCCTTTTAAGATTTCAATTAGTTATTTAAATGTATGAATCATGTGCTTAAATGTAATATTACTTAAATGTTTGTTTCTGAGGTTAGCTAGCCTATAAGAATCCTGACCAGCTACAGGGAGATGTTTTGTTTTTCTGGGACTAGACCTATTTTTCAAAGAACTGGGGCAAAAGAATGTTTTGGGTTTCTGATATTTAATGACAGGATTTGGAGAAAATTTTAGGATTTTGTGTGAATGATGTGATGATTAACTACAAAAGAATAGGCGATGGTAATGTTCTGGTTCCTATAATGATAATTTAGCAACGTATGTTTCACATTTGCACTGGTTTACTATGGATAATTAGAGAGAGATTTATAAAAAAATGTTTTCAAAGAAAATTTATGGCAATTATTTTTTGCAAAACAATTACTTGAAAGCATAATTGTTTAGAAATGCAGTCGTCTGTGCTTTTAAATTACATATTTATGACACCTTTTAGGTGTTTACTCTTCAGCTGTCTCTTCTAATACTACAGCAAAATGTTTGAGAGATGGTCACATTTTGCATTTTTCTAAACACCAATAACTTACTATGTTTTCAAAAGCAGTCTATAAAAGAAAAAAATTATCCTATGCTAAGAGAATTAGACTTTGAGATTCATTAGAAAAGACTACTATGTAAAGTTTCAAAGAATAGAACTGACGAGTTGATATGCACTTATATTGGTAACTTAAAAATACCATAATTATTGAAATATAGCTGAATACCCCATTATATCATAAATCTTACCTCTTGCCAGTTGTATTTTCATTGTTATCCAGTTATAGTGCATTTAGTTATTTCACATTACTTGTGTACACATTGTTAAACTTACGAGTTTGTTATCTGAGCTGCTTCAATGTTACTTCTATAGTCTTAGGTCCTATAAATAATGCATAAAAAGTGCTACATTCGAGGCCAACTATATATTCAAACAACTTTTCTACAACTCACCTAGGGGCCTGTGATACCCATAAGGTGACCAGGTTAATGAAATCAACTTTTATTTTGTAGATGTAAGATATTTAAATCTCTTCTATTCAAAAGATGATTGCAAACTAAACGTAGGATGCAAAAACCCATGAAGTGAAAAGATACAAAATAAGACAAAAACTTGCAACAGTATTTGTTAGAATAATGGTGTTGTTTTTGGGTTATAATATGCTTTCTTGATGAATCTATTTTTTAAAATGTGTCATTCTCGAAAGAGTATGAAGACCCAGGTTTAAGCCTGACTGTGCCATGATCTAGCTGTATGATCTTGGTTAAGTCACTGATCCTCTCTGGTTTTTTTTTTCATGAACTGTAAAATGAGAAAAGTAGAGTAGGTAGGGAGTCTCTAAAGCACTTCTTACCCTGTCTCCCACCCAGTTCTCTGAATTGTGAATCCTTGATTGCTCAGCCATCTGCAAAGAACCAAGTGCTGTGCTTAATCCTATAGATAATAGTTTTAAGGGTAGTGACCATATGTTCATAATAAATTGTGTAAACACTGTCACTGCTAGCACTCAGTCCTAAAGCTCTGTAGAAATCTATGGTTTCAAAAATGAACCCAAACAACTGGAGTTTACAATTTGGATACTCAAATTTTCATCAACAACTTTGGGATTTCTCGTCTTAGAAACTGACTCTTTCTAAATATCACATTTTTCACAAGCTTAGTGCTTACTGTTTGATATTTCTATTTGACCTTTGATTGCTGCTATCTTCTACCAAGTGGCTGGTCAACAGTGATAGCACCAAAAAAGATAAAGCAAACAGTGTTTCCTGGGGTTTAATAATTAATAACCTGACCTTTCATCAATCTCCATGGATCCGGTTCCTTACTTTTGTCATTGGCATCAAGATTTTAACAAGAGAAATCTGTATAAAAAGCAATTGCTCTTTTGTTTCCAAAACAGGTATTACAAGTGGATAAATAATGTGCACTGCTCTGAGCCCAAAGGTACGCAGTGGACCTGGCCTCTCTGATATGCATCAGTATAGCCAGTGGCTGGCCAGCAGACATGAAGCTAATTTGCTACCGATGAAAGAAGATCTGGCCTTGTGGTTAACCAATCTATTAGGTAAGGTTATAAGATCTCATTTTGTGAGCAAAGATAACAGGGTTGGGTTTTTTTTTCTCTCCCCCATATAGTGTCCTTCACCTAAGCATGTGACAGCACCTTGGAAAGAAAGATTTCATTATTTGGGTTTTGCATCTGGGAAACCTGAAGCATGTGGAAAATTTAAATGAATTTCCCAATGTCTTTCATGTTAACTGTGCTTAGTAATTCCAATATCATGCATTGAAATGTGGAAATATGTGGTCAAATTGCTTATTGCACCTATATGCTGATCTGATTTATTTTTATTTTTACTTTTCTTTTATGCAACTGACCAGTCTGACCTCGTCTTTGGGCATTGCACCCAGGCCATAGTCTGTGAAATCTGACTTCTAAAACTAGATTGCTTTGCCCTACTTTTATAGCACACCTTCTAAAACTGCTGAATCCCCAAACTCTGGAACGAACACATCTATCCTTTGTCCAAATGAGCTGACTAGAGTCACCCAACCTGAGCTAAAAATTTTTCTGTTCATTTCAATTTTTGTTTTTAGGGACTCTTCCAAAAGTACTGTCTCTGAGAAAAATGCTACCTCATGCTAAGGCTGTCTCTTTTTAAATTCCCGTTGTGCTGGCGTAGTCATAGGATAAAATTTCAACCACGTGCATTTTTTTTAACCATGCGCATTTCAAGGATCATTATATATAGAAACACTACTTTCACCAGTAGTCTTTCACAGAGAATAAAACCGATTTATTACCCGAGGAAAGGTCCCTTATAGATACATAAAATACAACATTTGAATATCAAGTAAACTTATCATTTGTATGGCACTTTATCACTTGCAGAAGGGATGTCACCAACATCATTTTATTATTTAAAGATAAACTGAAGAGCTTAGTGAGAAGCGCCCTGTCCACTTGAAATCTTAGCAAGGTTTGGAAAGATTTGAGCACCTTTCAGCAGCATTATCCTTTCGCCCCCCATGGCTCCGGATTTTTCATGGCTTTTTGCCTTTCTTCGCCTTTACCCTAGGGTTCAGCTGTTCTATTTTCCCGCGTGCACGCGCTGGGTCGCGGTCCTGTGCGGCCTGGGGCTACTGCATGGGAGGGGGGTGCTGCAGCTCTCACGGGGCACCCAGCCCGGGGGCAGGGCCCCGACGCCCAGGGCCCAGGGGCCCTCCGCCTCCTGGGCCCCCTGGGAGGAAGGGGCTCCCCCCTTTTGTCACCCAGCCATGCAGAGGAGCAGCTTTTATCTCCATCACGTAGAGGGAGTCAGGGTAACCCAAGCAGGATTTCCTCTCTTTGTTTCTGTCCTTCCGAGGTTCCCTAATGGCTGTGACACTGGGGACTTATGATGAACTCGGAGCTGTCTTCAGCCGCGGGCTCTCACAAGCGCGGCTGTGCAGAGTGGATGTTAAGAGAACAGGCTGGAGGGAGACTGCCTGGGTCTGAACCCCGGGACTGCCGCTCGCCAGCGATGTGATGTTGGAAAAGAGCTGCTCCTCTGCCTGCCTCAGTTTCCTCATCTGTCACGTGGCCGTGCTGGAAGCGCCTGATTTGTAGGGTGCAGTGGGATTACAGGACTGAAATATGTATACTACTGAGGAAGCGCCTGACGTGTCGTAAACACCGTTCGTGGTGTTAGTCCGATTTTATAGTTCAGCGATACTGTCAGTTTCATTTTGTCGATAAATTTATTGATTGATTGCACAAACAGCTGAGTGCGCAGCAGCATATAAAATGTTCGTTTTCGTGGGTTTTTTTAAAGTTATTCTTCACAACCTTTTTTCTTTTTTTTAAAAAAATATGTCTTTTATTGATTTCAGAGAGAGGAAGGAGAGGGAGAGAGAGAGAAACATCAATGGTGAGAGTCATCGATCGGCTGCCTCCTGTGCGCCCCCTGCTGGGGATCAAGCCCACAACCCGGGCCTGTGCCCTGACCGGGAATCGAACCTTGAGCTCCAGGACCCTAGGTCGATGCTCAACCGCTGAGCCACACCGGCCGGGCCGTTTTTTTAAAAAATGGACACTGGAATCGGAATGCTTGAATTCAAATCTCAGTTCCATCACTCACTAGCTCTGTGACACTGGGCAGGTTTCTAAATGCACTGTCCTCTGTTTCATCATCTGTAACGTAAGTATAATACTAGTACCAGCTTCATAGGACCCTTGGCAGTTTGAATGAGATGACCGCATTTAGAGCAAGGCCTGGCACATAGTAATCAACTAGCCATAGTAAATACGAGCTATTGTGATTTTTGTGTTCCAGACACAGTCTGCTAAGTACTGGAGGGTAGAGCGGTGGATTAGGAATAGGCGGAGTGCCAGTCCTTAGAGATGTGGGAGGAGATTGAAAAGGGAACATTAAGTAAGTAATTGAATCAATAATTCATTAATTGGACTTATTATAAACACTAAGAGATAGAGGTTGAAATAAGGGCGCAAAAGCGAGGAGGTGGGCGTGGGGCAAAGGATGGCAGGACTTGGGGAAATGTTTAGGGGTCTTCTATTTAAACCGAGGACTGAAGAATGTTTACTAGCCAGCCAGGCAAAGCCGGGGAGAAGAGCCTGGTTGGCGGGAATGGCTTGTGCTGAGTTTCAAAGGAGTTTGGTGCGTTGGAAGAACTGAGCTAGTGTCAACAGCGTGGATCAACAGGAGAGTTTCATGACACTTGTAGGTGCCAGATCGTGTACAGATTTGAAGACCATGTTGATAAACATTATAATTTATTGTATGGTCACTGAGAAGCAACTGAGGTTCTAGACTGGGGGAGATGGTGATTAATTAGAGGGTAGCCTGATTGTACAGGTACATTCCAAGGTCCCATGACTTGTCATCAAAGGCATTTTATTTGGTGAATGTGACCGTTTACAAAGCAGCTTGATCAGTGTGAGTGGCCCAAGGCAACCTGAAAGAATAGAGAGTCAGTGTGTGTAATGGAAAGATCCTTGGAATCAAAATCAGGAGACCTGGCTCCTAACAAAGTCAGGAGACCTGGCTCCCAACAGGACATCAGGAGACCTGGCTTCTGGTTCTGGCTCTGCCGCTTGGTAGGAAACTTGCCCAAAGTCACTGAGCTATCTTTTCTGGGCTCAGTGTCCTCAACCATAAAACGAAGGGGTTGGAGTAGACGATCTCTAATGTCCTTTCCAGTTCCAAACGTGTAAGTTTCCAAGAAATCCACCTCTCCAGACCCAGTTTGAGATGATCAATATGCATAAATAAGGAGAACATAATTTACATAAATGAATAATCTTTCTTTTAAAGAGTAAGACTAATTTTTTTTTCCTTAATGATAGCAGTTGGTAACACAAATGCAACGGTGGCTTAGGAGATTTTCGCAGAAAAGGAATCTTAAAAGAATCTCAGGATACAGCAAAGTACCACCTTGTATTGACTTAAATTTGTATGAGTAGGTAGATAATAGACTTCAAGTGAATATCCTTATGGTAACTTAAGTGTAGAACAGTAACTTGGCATTATTTAGAAGTGGTAAAACATTTGGAGGTAAGAAAATATGTTATGTACTAGAGTGGTGGTGATCTGGAGGGGAGAAAAAATGTATGGCTACGTTAGAAGATGTTTTTATTACACATATTAGGTAGACTTAGAATTCACATATTTTAGAAATGAAGTCAGTGAAGTATACTTTAAAATTATTTATTACTGGCTATTTTATCACCTCAGAAATATTTTCAAATTTATATTATGTAGCTCTCTTTCAACTCTTGGTTTGTATGTGCTTGAAAGTTAGAGATGTCTTGAAAGTAGTTAGTTCCAAAGTTGATGCTGTCTTTATATAAAGTATCTGATTTTTTTGTGTGTGTGAGGTAGAAATTTACTTTCTACATTAAAAGTTTTAATTACATTTTACCATTGTGATGTGGACCTTACTTGTGGAAAGGCTTTCTACTTCTTTGTAGTAATACTTGATTAAAATGTGATGTGGTATTTTTTTATGTCCTTCAAGAGGAGTATTAATTGCAGTCTAAAATCAGATATTTCTGGTCCTTCATATAAAATATCAATTGAAAAATGTAGTTTCTCAAAGAAAGCTCAATTTGGATTTATGTATTTCAGTGGATAAAAATTATTTGATAGAGAAGAAAATTATTTCATTGGCTCACAGACCAATATTCACATTCATATCACATATGGAGGTTTAATATCGAAATTTTCAGGTACATGATACTTAATCAGTAACACCAATACATACCACTTTAGATTCTTAGCCATAGAAATAAAGCAGAAATAGCAAATTTTTAGATGAAATACTATTTATGTATGAGTATAAAATGCCAGCTGTCTTGTAAAATGTGAACTAAGATGAGTAGTTATAGTAGTTGGGATTTGCTTATGAAGCACACCAATGGGATTCATAAGAAGATCATCATATAATATTTACTGACTACTCAACATATCTTTCTAAATATCAACTGATCTTACTGAAAGTAGTTTTTGTAGTCCAAGCATGTTTTCAACAGCTGGCACCGTGGAGCAATTTTATGACCAATATTAAGAAAAGGCAGCGAAGGAATCCTGAGTATCCCTTCATTCTTCAGTATAAAATGTTTCTTTGGCCACTGTTCCCTGTTATACATAAATGTACACATTTCAGCTTTATTTTAACCCTTTTTTGTTATTTTTGTTCATGAACTAGCTTGTTATTCCCACTTGTTATTGATCTGTATCCTTAGGACATATTTGAACATAAAATGGTTATACAAATAAGTCTTGGGAAAAACTTAATTGTCACTTTGAATAAACATGTTATTAAGTTAACAATCCCAGATTATAGCAAAAACCCACCATTCAAATATATGAGGCACATTCTACAAGTTTAATGATTATTGATGGACTATTGAAAATTGTTGTTGACGTAGCTTTAAAACGAATGTACTAACATAAATGTTCTCAAATTGTTTATTTCACTTGTGTTTCTTTAATCATTTGAAAGTGATGGTCTGCNACATAGCTTTAAAACGAATGTACTAACATAAATGTTCTCAGATTGTTT